GTCATATGAAATAAACAAAATAAAAGTTGTAGTGATATTGCGCGGATGAAGAAGCACAAATGCATGCAAAGAGAAAAGAGCTGATATGTTGAGAATTTCTTTGAAATTTGTTAGTTGTTCATTTGAAAACTGGGAATTGGAATTTGAAAAAAAATGAGCTGGGAGATGGAAATATTATCCCAAATCAGGACCCTCTTCTTACCTATATACTGTATGTTTGTACGTGCGGTTTTCGATGCCTCCACGGTTTTTCTCGAGGGGCACAAGATTTCCATAAACGTTGACAAGACCCTTCGGGTCTGACTGCTTGCTTGAAATGAGGTCAAAAACAAGACAGTTTTTAGGAATGATAATAAACACTTTATGGACATGGATTTTGTTAACGTACTTTGCAGCCGAAAAACGTATTTGGTTCTCCAATGCAGGCAAAACAAACTTCAGGTATCCAAAGTAATAACCCCAAGCTAAACCATCGGCCAGGTTTGTGTTTTCTTTTTCGTTGATTTGAGAATATTCCAAGCGTGAAAGCTTACGTAAACCGAACAAGAACACAAATAAGGGAATAAAAATGGCGTTCAAGAAGAATAATCGCGTAAACTCGGTCTTGTATGAATACCACATGTCGTAGAAGGAAGTATAGGTGCCTAAGGCGAGTATAATTGCGATAACAGCAATGAGTTCTCTGTTCTGGAAGTCAAACGCCGCCTTTAAAGCCTTCTTCATGCTTCCTTCGTAGCGTGAACGACAATGGCGAGCTTCTTCACCAAACAAGCAAAGCCTTCGAGCCATTTCTCCGACCATGAAAGCAAGTAGAGAAATGCTAAAGGCAAAGACGTAGAATAACAAAACATCGCGCTCGAGAGACCTTTCTGCTATGAACATCGCTATAACAAAGGCCACAAGGATTGTAATCGCGACCCATATCGCCCCTGATCCTCTTTGCCTGTAAAACGGTCCAAATCCGTTGTTTTCTTCCTGCTGCATGTTGAAATGAAGTTGAAAAAATTATTGAGAGCTTGTGATATATTGACTTCAACAATCGAGCGAAAGCGAGACACCTGGCATGGGGAATCCCCCATCACGTTATGCTAATTCTTTCACTTTTGAATTACCATTTACTCATTTTTGGACGCAATCTGACATCATATCCTTTTATATCATAAAAAAATAGCCACATAGTTACAAACTTTAAGAATAGTACAGCATTTGCTTGCGGGATTATAATGGGAATATATTTTTATCCGCCGCTACTGATTTGATGGATTCTGCGTTTAATCTTTCCCATCCGGCTTATTTTGAATAGTTAAAAATTCCTTTATATGCACTTTAAGAAAAAAATGCTTAACGCTAATAAAACTGTATCAAAATGTAAAAATCAAAAATACATAAAACAAAAGGCTGCTTTAACGATAAAAAAACAGGTCTGGAGTTAAAAGAAAATAAACAACATGGTCTTGAGTGACAACACTTATCTGCTTAGTTTGACTTAATGGAGAAATATAGGTATTTTATAAAAGTTATATGATAAAACTATTTATACGTGAACTTTTCCGTAAAATCAGACGTTTTGATTGGTTGGCTTTCGTGTGTTATCAAAGTATAGATACACGGATTACGTCAAAACTAATTGTTTGTTGTTTAAAACAGATAGATCTCATTTTTCCGTGCGTGTGTACTCTAATAGATACACAGATAACGTCAAAATGTAGTGAGAACAACAGTCACGCACTCGACTGCGTCTCGTGCGTACTTTTTTGTTCTCACTACATTTTGACGTCATCTGTGTATCTATTAGAGTACACACGCACGGAAAAATGAGATCTATTTGTTAAATATATTTTACGCTTCTTCTCAAATACTCATTATTCGCCAGCCTTTTGCCCCAGTCAATCCAATAACCACGCATATATGATGGATTATGCGACACTCAAAAACAGGTGTAAAGCATATGTCAGGATACCGAAAACACTTAAATAGCGAACCAAAACTCTTGTAAGTTAGTTGCAAATACAAACAAATAGTGAAGAAACAGAATAGACAAGTTTGAAGATCCAGTACAAGCTCTACTGAGTATTCGCCTATACTCTACGAGGCTTAAGCAACTCCTGGTCCCTCCAGAAGTCCTGTAACAATTGTATCTACAATAACACGAGTTCCATGTCCCTTCTCCTCGTGACTCATCAACATTTATGTGAATATTTGTAGCTGTGTAAGAGCCGTTTGTCGCAGGTTCAAGTGACTGTCACCCATGACAGCAAAAGATTCCGCGTTATTATAGGTTGATGAACCGATTTGCTTAAAACGTTCAATTCCGTGTGGCTAATGGATTAAATAATTAACTCGACATTGTTCATCGGTAATCACATTAAAAAATAAATAAAGGGAAGCTTGGATGTGTAGCTTAATTTAAAGTGACCAGGAACTTAGCTGAAAAATAGCAGGAGTAAGTAGTTTTTATTAAAGAAAGATTCAATTTTGACAGTTTTATCCTGATAAATTGGAAATTTTAACTTTGTTCAAATACAATATATACTCTCCCCATCTATTTCAAAAGGGTTGTTTGTGGATAACATGGCTAATGTAACACTGATTTGATGTTCAATTTAGTATTATTGCCTCAAATGAAATCCAACGATTTTTTTTATTTTATTTAAAAAAAGCGGCTTCTCTCGATATGCTGACCGTCCAACTCCTGAGTGTCCTCACCGCCATTCAAATAGTAAGGGTCAGAAGACGAGTATGTAATCATTAGTCAGCTGTAAAGATATCTATAAGAGCCGAAACATCAAAATAAATCTAGAAAAATTTGTTTACAAAACAATTTACGAACTTTAAGAAAGTTCGCGATGAATCTCTACCCGACGATGACTGATAAATCATTAAAGTTAATTGGTCAATAATTATTTAATGGAAGGATGACGGCACACGCCAGTTTAGCATACGTCATTTTTTTATCCTTTTGGTCTTTTTGAATTATTCCAATAGAAGGCAATTAACGGTACAAATGGCGGAAGCAATGCAGATCAAGAGATTTTAATTTTAATTGGTAATTGCTAACATAGAAATTCACTGATCACTCAGTACATATTTTAGTTTTTGGATACTTGAGAGAGAATCAAACGTTGAAAACAGCCGAGCAATGAATTCTTCTTTGAATCTTCCCAGCTCTAACTGGACAGTACCATTGGCACCGAACTGTCCAGGAATAATCATCACGACCATTTTAACCGTTTTGATTGCAGTTGTTGGTATCGTTGCTAACGGGTTGGTCATTCGTTTCGTTCGTTCAGATCTGAGTAAGCGTAAAACCCCTGACCGATTGCTTCTGCTGCATTTATCGGTCGTTAATTTAGTAGGATGCTGTGTTGGTCTTCCTCTCTACTTCTTCAACAACGAAATTTTACCAAACTTGGATGTCGATTCAAAGCTATCCACATCGCTTTGCTTGTTCCAAGCTTATTTATTGCTAATTTGCTTAAGGAGTGGTCATTTTATGCTAGCAGTACTGTGCTTTGACCGTTTTCAAACAATCACAATAGGTCCTCAAGGAAAATGGCTGACTTACACAAGAACGAGGCGAATAGTCTTTGCAATCTATAGTTTAGTGTTTCTTGTAATATTGTCGGTCATGAGTGGTTCTATCGTACATTTGACCATCGGTGGAAAAAGCATTAACTGTTTTCACAAGCAAGTTAATAATCGTGTGACCGTGACATTTGGTCTTTCATTTTCAAGAATTGCTATGACAGTTGAATCAGTTATATCGCTATCAATAGCAAACATCGCTTGCATCTTATACCTCCAAAAAACAGACAAACATGTCAATCAACATATCGAGTCTGTTCGTGCTACACTCGGCGATCAAAGTACAATCAAGGAACTTCGTCTTGTGCGAAGCGCTTGGGCGTTTGTTGTGGCTTACGATTTTGTGTGGGTCCCCTTTGGAATAGCTCGAGGGGTGAAAAGTGGTTATCCTGATTCCCTTAGTGTTTACTGTTTTTACAAGGTAACTTATAATCTTTGTTATTCTGTTTTCTCATCTATTCCCGTACTGTACATTATTATGGATAGGCGCATAAACATCCCATTTGTGCGATATAATGACGTCATTCATCCAGAAAATGGACACGGTACTAGCCAACAAACCTGAAGCTGCTGAACAAAAGGAAACTAACCTTAATTTTATCCAATTGACAACTTCGAATATTGTGTTTTTATCCCTGACTATGCATGTACTTTGATAACAAGCGTGGGGAAATTTAAAATAGACGTGCATAAAGGAAATTGAAAAAAAAATAAAAATAATGCGAAAGAAAGTATTTTTAAAATACTCTAAAATAGTATGTGGACGTATAGACATATCTAGCACATCTAGCTAACTCTCGATACCTTTGCTGTAAATAAAAAAACTATCGGTTTTAGCTAGCTAGTACAGTATATTAATTCAGCATAAATTTATTGATGTGTGTTTCGGCCTCTTCAATAATTGTAAATATCATATTTTGTGGGCTTCGCTTAGCTATAAACACTCTCCAATTGTAAATAGCAATTAATAATATTTAGTAATGTATATCTTGTAAATAAATATGTTCGGCGTTAAAAAAGTGTGACATATATAATATACCCTGGATTCAAGGGTCATTCAAGACTTCTCTACTACCATTAGATTAGAAATAATGCTTTCAAGCAAGAGTACCCAACGACACCACTTCACAAAATAACCGCTCCACATCCTATTTTTCAATTGGCTGTCAAATTGAATTTTTATGTTCCTGGCACTGCTGGAGCAGATAGTTCAGCGGTGGCTGCTGGGAATTTTCAATTTGTACACCATTTTTTTTTTTCTTGTTTCCATTCCGAAAAGACATCTCATTTAGCTCGTGGTTTAAAACATTTTTTGAGATACATTTCTTTAAAAAAAAAGCTGACATGATTCGGTATTTTCGGACATAATTAATCTAACAGGAAAGTAGCTTTTTTGACTGCAGATATATATATATATATATATATTATTAATATTGTGTTCGTTCGTACCTTCTTTTACTCCGTTGCGATTGATTCAACTTTCTCGTCCTGAAACTGATGAATTCATATAGCCATAATGCAAATTTCACATAACCTTAACTCCAAAAGCAAAAGATGTATATAATATAATATAAAAATTAGGTAACACCTAATAGCGGAGCTCCAATAGCAATATAGAAGCTGAAAATGATTATCTAGTACTGCTATTTCAAAGGTAGATGTTCTGTTCTAAGGAATGTGAGCTACAACACAGTTTTGTTGACATGCGAACAAATATCATAAAGATTATGTTTATGAGAATTTAGTTCGTACTAAAATATTGACTTCGATAGATTTTGTACCGTTGGATGAAGTTTAAAATTACAATCTATTTAGTTCAATTGATTAAAAGTAAACTGAAAGCTTCTCGGCAAAAAGTAGTCTACATAAGCTTACAATAATCAACATTATTATATATCAAGTGTCAAAGTTCACTTTCCCTAGTATCTTATTGGTCGAGAGTGTACCACGTGAAAGTCACAAAATTTTACTGTTTCCCGGCAACTGTCCACCAGCGGTCAATAATATGTTGTGGACCGTCAATAAGTACGAAGTCGCAGAAAAACAATCTTCAGTGTCGTGAAAATGTCACATTTACGGACGTTGCAATTCCAAAATTGTAATGAAACATTTAATTTCGACTACACATAGTTAAATTAGTATTCATTGTGTTATTACATTGATTGATTTTAGTGACTATTTGTATTGCCATTTTTCAGTTATTTTATCAAAATCTTTAATAAAATCAATTCATTTATTTACTTTTTTTGCTCTCTTTGACACTTGATATGATAATAAAGCACTTATTTACTGGAAACCTCGGGAAACAGTATGTTTTGTGGTCCCTCGACCGCTGATGTTTCCCTCAGCTTCGCTTCGGGAAACATCAGCGGTCTCGGGACCACAAAACATATTGTTTC